CGCACCACGAATGCTCGGAGCATGCCATCCTCGAGACTCGACGCAGCCGCCAGCACTCGCGATGCACCCGGGCTTCCCACCGTGCTCTGCTGCACTCGTGTGCCCATCACCCTCACACTTCGTGAGGAACCACGCGCCCCCAGTTCACTATGGCGAGGTTGACCCGCGCTCACCACACAACGCCTGTGTCACCGCATCCCCCGTGCCTCCACTGCCTGCGCGCGGTCCGGTCGCTGCGTTGCCGCATCTGCGCGTTCGTCACACTCGGTGGTCACGTGAGGACGGGGCTCCGCGGTTCGCCACGTTCAGCGCAGGCCGCCCCAGCTTGCTCGCCTCCCCGCGGACCTGGATGTGTCGGGTTCCCCTTCCTCAACTTATTTACTGCTTAGTTTAATTGCCTGGTACTTGAAACCAACTGAAAATCCCTCATAATATTTACACCTAATTTTCTCTTTCCTGTACCGGGGCTGATGAAATTCCGGCGCCTTGGAGCTGAGCTACGAACCGTCTGCTGATAAGGGATTAGGCTTTTATGGTAAGTGATAAGATAATCAGTTGCCATAAAAGGCTAATCTATTTATAGCCAGATTTCGGAACTCAAAGCCGCCGAAATTCCGTCAACCCTGGCTCAACATCAGCCATGAAGTCTCTGGGGTCCTAGTATGTTAGCCGACCCGCCTATCACATATCAAGTGACGTTTTGCATTATCGAGTTACGTTTTGCAAGCTGTCCAGTCCTTGTTGCCATACTACGGGACCTTAGCGCGATTGCCATCGAAGCCAGGGAGACCGGGCGCAGGTGCCGGCCCCATGGCGCTAGGGGGTTTGGAGAATCCCACCGCATAAATTCGGATTTTACCTTTCATCCGATCATCCGTCAAGGAGCCTGAGACCTCGCCGTAGCCTGCACAGAAGCCATGAAACCGGTAACGGTCAAATACAAAGGGGTTAACGAATGGGTTGTTAAATTGATCATGAGTTGAGTTTGATACGCCATCTCTTATGCGTGGAACCACTCGTCTCGGATTTTCAAGCTGTCTCATTATATTTGACTATACAAATGGGTTAGCTCGCGGGAAAAGGTGGGGGAATATAAACGCATACCAACGAACAAACCCCGCTCCAGCGTGTTCACGAGAATATACCCACTCTCGAAGTAGGGGTACGTCGACCACACTCCGCCAAATGAAGGCTCGCCGCCGACGGCGTCGTCCTCGGGGTGAACTAGGCGAATTATGTGAGCAGGGGTCGGGTACGAGAAGGAAAGGCGCACCGTCGAAGAAGGCAGCCTCAAAGAAGCCGGCACCGGTGGGGTCGTCAGCAACGCTGGAAACGTCAACGATGCGCAGCCCGCTCTTGTAGTTGCTCTCGTAGACCAGGCCGTTCTGCGGGTCAGTGAGAAATGGTGCATTAAACAAGGACTGGAATGAGCGTACATGCACATAGAGATTGTGGTCGATTGCGACGATGGGCGACTTGTACCGACCCGTGAGGACGGGCCGCGAGAGGTCTTTGATGTCCCAGATGTAGGTCACGGTCTTTTGGTCGGTTGCCCAGCCTGCAACGGCGTCCGAGTCAGCTCGAGTATTAATATAATATGTTGCGGCCCAACGAACCTCGAGAGAACATTTCGTCCATCTCATCGTTCATGAGGAGGTACGACTGGTCCTTCTCGTCGATGACCCATCCCTGGTGGGAGTAAGCCACGCCGTGGTAGAAGGTCGCAGAGATTATGGTGGGAGCGTTAACATCGTCAATGTTGTAAATGGTGAACGTGTCTTCGTTGAATGAATAGCACACGTCGGAGCCATTGTACTTGGCGTCAGGTCCGTAGTATGTGAGACATTGGGCGCTAGGGGAGACAAATTGAGGACAGGGATTATTTGAACACGTGAGGATGCGTACTCGTGCACATATCCATCCTCGCCGGCACAGCCAACCGTCTTGGGATTAGCGGGGTCAGCTACGTCGACGAAAATGAGCCCTGCACCGCAGACGCTGCAGGAAGGCGTGTTATTCATAGGTCGGACAGAATGCAGCTGACGACGTACTGAAGACGTGGGTTTGCGCCGACGGCGACGATGAGATTTTTATCTGCATGGGAGACGATGTTGTGGCTGGATCCTTCAGGAAGCCCGTCATAATGCGAGGTGAGGTCCGTTTCAATGCTAAATTCCTTCGGGCTCCCGATCAAGCCATTGTCAAGGAGCTAAATAAAATAATTATCAGTAATCTCGCCCGATGTAGCTCAAGGACCGCAAACACACCTTCAGTAAATCGAATACTTGGATGCCGTGTCCCAGCGCTTCGCTTCCAATGTAAGCATGGTGTCCGATGACTTTTATATCCCTCCAGATGCTGTTGACAGTCTGCGTCGGCAAACGACCTAGATACGTAATCTGCCCGCTGGCAAGAACCTAGCCACACTTTCAAAGTTAGCGCCGAATAATTGAACTGACGATAGTTTGACTCGCCTCTACGAATGCAGTCCCATCCATTTGGCCAACCAGGCCGAATTCCCTCGTCACTCCGTCGCTGGTGTGCGCCCAGCCCCAGATATCATTCCCGACTTTCGCAGTGCTCCCCATGTCCGCGTGCGGTGTGAAGGAGTACAGATCGAGGTTGTTGCACATGTACGTGCTGTTGGCCTCCGTACCGGCGAAGCCGCCGATGCAAGGGGTGTACTCCGTGATAGGCTTGATTCCAAGCGTCGGGTCGAATATTCCGGTTGCGCTCACAACGTCCGCGCGCATGTCCTCGACGACGGACGTCATGAGGTCCATCATCATCATGTGCACCTTCCCGGAGGTGTAGTCGTCGACATGGGCGAAAGGAACGTGAACGAATGGCTGTTCGTCGCCTCGGCGGATACCATCGCCCCCAGGATTGGCGGAGACAAGGGAAAGAGTCAGCGCGAAGAGGGCGCTGGAGATGAGCTTCATCGTTCTTGGTGGAGTCAGAAACAAGGAACGCAATCGGAACTGCGGCAGCCCTTTAAGCGGCACGCGCGCCTAAATGTGAGAATTCGACAACCCATCATCCTTGCAATCAAGTGGAACAAGCTTCTAAAAGGGCCAAAATGCCGCAGTATCAAAGCAGCCATGCGATACTCACCCTACTATTACGGTAAGGGCCCATCGCTGGCCGATAGATACGGGAAAGTTTCAAAGTACAAGACATCCGATAGAGCATGTAAATTTGAATATCGACTTTCGACCTTCCAGATTCGAGTCGTTCTTGAACGAGCCGCTGGCCTGCCCATGATTTTCTCTTCGGCGGGGCACTAGCCTTAATCGCAGCCACTGGGACACTGGCGAGCTCGTGGGCAGTCTACCGAAATCAGGAAAGAGGGCCGCAGCTTACCGCAGCCAGCCGCAGCCCTTGATCACTGATTCGCGGCTGCCTCTGGCCCTCTGAAATACCGATAAGCTCGGTGGGTTTATGATATCATGGGTTGGGGCCGTCCCGAAAATCGGGACCGGACGCTGAGAACTACTACTACCTAGAAACCTCAGGAACGCAAGGTGCGATTATGCCTGCGCCTCGCGTGCGCTACGCTAATCTAATCTAATGCTTCAGCCAAACAGAACCCTCAAGCTTGGTTCTCGCTGCGGCAATTGCCTGGGTCCAGGTTGGGGCCACGAATCTTGCTCATCATTTGAGCTTTAATCATGTCCCGGCGGAAGTGAGCGTGTAATATCAATAGATGAGGAGGGGATGTGCATTCAAGCTAGGGCTTCAACCCACCCGTTAAACGGGACGGCCATCTTTTTTAACGGGATGGCTCAACCCGTGATTTTAACAGAGGAAACGGGACGGATCCCGCCCTATCCCGCCCGTGACGGCCGTTTCGACGGGTTCGATGAGGCGTTCTGGCGGCATCATACTGGCGTCATTAAACAAAATGGTGTGAGGGTAATAAAAACTCAACTCAAATTCTTTACTCCTCTAGTGATTTTTGTGCCCTCCACTCGACGACGAATAGCGTTCGAGATCGTCTGGATGGTCAAAGCGGGCAACATTGATCGCATCAATCCTATCAATCACCTTGCTTTCGCCCCAAGCGGTGAGTTCATGTGGAGTTTTCATGGGTGATACAGATTTCACCCCAGATTCAACCAGATCTGACTAGATTCGAGCGGTATTGCCCAAATTTGCGTCAATTCCGGGTAGACCCGTCCAACCCGTCCCGCACCCGTCCCGTCTAGGCCCGGGGGTCGAGTTCAGGACGGGCGGGTCCACACCCTTCCGTCCCGCCCGTTGACCAATCAAGAATCGGGACGGGTTGAAGCCCTAAAATCTGAAACGCACCTGGGATACAGCTCGCCGGGGCGCAGCCACTCCCCGCGGCCGGAGTGAATTTCAACCATGCACGTGATCTGTGTTCAACTGCTCCTATCGAGTCCAAGTTCGACTTGTCTTTGGTGTAGGAGCTGGGGCGCGAGGGTGGAGGCGGGAGAGACGAGGCGATGAGCGAGGACGGAGGAGAGAAATATGGGCAAGGAAGAAGCGGGGAATGTAAAGTCTGCTGTACCCGTGGTTCAAATTTCGACCCCGGAAAAAATAATGAGGGAATAGATCTAGAATGACAGCGGGGTCTGTTTTCGAGTACTCCTGCTGTCCTCTTGGATAGAGCTGGTCCCGTTTCGGCGAGGAACGAAGGATGGAATATCACGCATGCACTTGATTGAATAATAACTCCATCGAGTTGGATATACCGATAAGGATTTGAATCGACTTGGATTGGGGTTTACTGAGGGGAAGGGATGAGAGGGAATTAAAAAGAGAAAAGAAAACGACATTCAGACGCAGGGATTCGAACCCTAGACTGCCTCCCACACTCCTATACCAAGTACTTAGACAAGGCTGTGTTGCCATTACACCAGGTACGAGTTCCTTCCTACTTCCATGGTAGGTTTTATTGGCTTGTTCAAGCGGGCAGAAAGGAAAAACACATAGCAAAAGCGGATGAGAACAAAAAGTTCTATTATAATCATGCACTCAGACACAAGGATTCGAACCCTGGACTGCCTCTGATTCTAGAGCCACATATGGAATTAAAAGCAGAGGCCGCGTTCCAATTACACCACGTCTGACTTGCTTTCTTCTGCATCCGGGCAGCTTTATTAGCTCGTTTATGGGAAAGTGCAATAAAAATGGATTATACGACCATTTATTCAGACACAATGATTTGAACCCTGGACTGCCTCTGAAACTGGGCTCACGTTGAACATTAAAGGAGAGTATGTTCCCATCACACCACGTCTGTGTTCATTTCTTTTCAATCGTAATAGTTTTATCAGGTCGTTCAAGAGGAATGGAGGAAGAAAGAAAAAATACCACGTCTGAGTTCATTTATCTCACCCGCGCTAGGTTTATGAGCTCGTTCAAGGGAGGATGTAAGAAAAAGAAAAGGGGAGGAAAAGCATAATTCAGACACAGGGATTCGAACCCTGGACTGCCTCTGAATCAATCCCCACATAATTAAGAGAAGAGGCCGTGTTGCCATTACACCGTGTCTGAGTGGCTTTCCTTTCCATGCGACCACGTTTATTTGGGTATTGAAGGGAATATAAGAATAAAAAGTCATCCAAGGCGTATTGTGTTGGGTTGTATTAGCTCAGGCTCCGAGGTTGAACCAAGGTTGAACATTCCCGTTTGGCGGCGTGGCGCGTGTGGACCCGGAAGCAAATCCGGCGGGTACGTATAAGGCTGGTGTCAGTGTCAACCCAGCTCCAGGTGTGCTTACGAGGAGTTCACGACGGCGTCGAGCTCACCATCGCCGTCCAGCCAGTCGTGTGTCGCCGCATCAATGACGTCACTATCCTTCCACCAACTCGCTGATTCCACCACCACCCTCGATGCTGTCGACCCCCGGCTCCGTGTCCTTCAAGCCCTCACCGACTACCCCGTGCTGCACCCTGGCCGCGTCGTCCGCCTTCGAGTTCATCGTCCAGACCATCGCGCCCTTCCGCGTGCCCGTGGCTCTCCTTAACCATCCACATCCTTCATTCTCGCCTTTCCGTGGCTTTCATTCACCATTCCACATTCACCTATTCACTTTTATTTTCGTCCTCTCCTTCCTTCAGCGTTCTGCACTTTCTTTCACCGCGCCCTTCTCGTCTCGCCCGGACGGCCTACAATTTCACTGTCTACGTCCCGCTTGTTGCGGCGTTAGCCATCGACACACCCGCCCTGAGCCCGCCTCCATCGTACCCCACGTCGTCCCCATCACCCCGCGTCACGCGTCCATATCTACATTGCCTTTTCTCCCTCCTTCTTCCGGGCATCTCACACCCGGCACTCAGCCTCCTGTGTCTTACCCCGTCATCGCTCGCTCGCCCCGCGTCAACTTGCTATCCATGCGCACATTTCCTCCTCATATCCATTCCCATACTTACCCCTTCTCGCGCCGCACACCCGTCCCCGTCCTTCTACGTCTTCTAACTCGCCTCGCCTCCACTTGCCTGACCGCTGGTGCGCGCACGCCGTCTCTGTATTCCTGCCATCGTCACAATCAAGTGGGAAGTCCGGGAGAGTCGCGAATCCTCGCGCCCGTAAATGCAGATGCAAGTCGACATTCCGCGCCCCGCGCCCGCACACCCAGGCGCATCCCCGCGCCCCTCGCCGCTGACGCGCGCGTCACCTCCGCGCTGTCTCTCACCGCCACCTCCACGTCCAAGCCCAGCCCCTGCATCCGACTCCCCACGCTCGCAAATCGGCACCAATCCAAATCGACACCTGTCGTCCCAGCTTCGACTCCAAATTCGCATGCCAGTGCCCGCGCTCCGCGTCCCCCGCATCTCGAATCCTCACCCACGCCCACGATCGATCGCAAATCAGAATCACACTCCCCGTGTTCGCAATCCACGTCCCGAATCTCTGCGTCTCGCAAATGCACGCGCTCGCAAATAAATGCAGGTTCAAATCCCGGGCATTCGAGTCCATCGCCCGCGCTCGCAAAAATCGGCCCGCATCTCGAATCGAATCCAAGGCTCGCATCCCGCGCTCGCAAGCTCGCCGCTCGAATCCCCGCGCGCGTAAATTCATCTGAATCCCAGCAGCCCTTCTCACCTCGCCGCGCTCGGAAACTTGAATCCGAATCCCAGTCCTTCTCAAATCGCCGCGCTCGCAAACTCAAGTCCCGGTCGACGCGCATCCCCTCCGACGAGCACGAACGCGAACGGCGAACGGAGGTTTTGGTTTATGATCCCGCGGGATGTGTGGGTCGGGTTGGGTGGCGTTGGGCGGTAGGTGCGAGGCGGGTTGCTAGGCAGGCAGCGGTGCGGGCAGAGGGAGGGTGCGGGTTGCAAGTATATGTAGGGCTTTTATTAGTTTTTTTTTTCAAAAAAAGTGCTCCAGCCAAACAGAACCCTCAAACTTGGTTCTCGCGGCAGCAATTGCCTAGTCCAGGTTAGGGCTACGAATCTTGCTCGTCAGTTGAACTTTAATCATGTCCCGGCGGAAGTGACGGTGTATTGCCAATGATTCCGGGGGGGTGTGCATTCGAGCGCAAGTGAAATCCAACCAGGCACGTGATCTGTGTTCAACCTCCGAGTTCGACTTGTTTTGGTGGAGGAGCTGGGGCGGAGAGGGTGGGAGGCGAGGAAGAATAGAGGTAGCAAGAAACAAGAGGAAGAAAGCTCCGAGTTGGCAATGAAAATCCGTTGGACTGTAAAGGTCAACTGTTGGCATGAGGAACGGACCGGAGGATCAAAGATCACTTACGGACCTTGAATAGTTTCTTGAGGAGGGAGAGGGATGAGGAGACTAGCTTGAAAATCTTCGCCCAGAAAGTTGGGATTGAGTCGAACCCTGACAGATTATACACATCATGAGAGGCCGTGCCCCCTAGACCATGTCTGAGTTCCTACCAGCTACATCAAGGTAGTTTTATCTGATTGCTCATGGAAGTGAAAAAAAGGATACAAATGAACGTCCGATTTAGCCACAGGGATTCGAACCCTGGATTGCCTCCCACATTCCTACACCAGGCTGTGTTGCCATTACACCATGCCTGAGTTCCTTTCCTCTCTATCAAGGTAGTTTTATTCGACATTCAAAGAGGAAATTTAAGAAGAAAAGAAAAAATGTTGACCAACAGATTATTCAGACACAGGGATTCGAACCCCAGACTGCCTCTGAAACTGGGCTCATGTTGAACACAAGAGGAGGCTGTGTTCCAATTACACTACATCTGAGTTACATTTCTTGCCGAGGATATAAATGAAAGTCCGATTCAGCCACAGGGATTCGAACCCTGGATTGCCTCCCACATTCCTACACCAGGCTGTGTTGCCATTACACCATGCCTGAGTTCCTTTCCTCTCTATCAGGGTAGCTTTATTGGAGCGTTCAAGGAGGAAATTTAAGAAGACAAAGAAAAACACCGACCAATGGATCATTCACGCAGGGATTCGAACCCTGACTGCCTATGAAGGCAAACTCACAATGGCGATGAAAGGAGGCCGTGTTGCCACCACACCATGTCTGAGTTCCTCTACTTCCACCTGCGCTAGGTTTATCAGCTCGTTCAAGGGAGGACGCAAGAAAAAGAAAAGAGGAAGGAAAGTATAATTCAGACACAGGGATTCGAACCCTGGACTGCCTCTGTAAATACAGCCATCGCAAAATTCAGAAGAAGACGCTATGTTCCCGCTGCACCATGTCTGAGTTACTTTCTGATATATCCGGGTGGATTTATTAGCTCGTTGAACCTGTGTGAAGGGGAGAAAAAACACGGACCAGTCAGACACAAGGATTCGAACCCCGGATGCCTCTGGAAAGCGCGAGTCTTTAAAAATAATACTAAGAGGCCTTGTTGCCACTACGTCTGAGCTCCTCTCCTTTCCATGCAACCAATCTTATTAGGGTGTTTGAGGGAACGTAAGAACCAAAGAACTCATCCAAGGTCTATTCAGACACAGGCTAAGGGATTCTAACCCCGAACTGCGTCCAAAATTCACATAACCTGCATAATGAGAGGCTGTGTTCCCACTACACCATATCCAAATACCTCTGCCCTTCCTAGTTCGGCTATATTGGCTCCGAGATTCAACCAAGGTTGAACCCCGTTTGGTGGCGCGGGCGGGTGGATCCGGAAGCAAATCTGGCGGGTATGTATAAGGCTGGTGTCAGTGCCAGCCAAGCTGTTGAGGCCTGGGAGCCCACCATAGAATTCACGATGGCGTCGAGCTCGCCGTCGAGCCAGTCGCGGGCAACGTGGGTCGGCTCGCCATCCGCATCAATAACGTCACCTGCTCCCATCCCATCGTTCCACCAACTCGCTGATTCCACCTACTCTCTATGCTGTCGACGCCCCGCTCGCGCGGCCCCTCACCCAAGCGGCCCGCCCTCTCCGGCTCCGCGTCCTTCGACTTGGAGAGTCAAACTTGGAGTCTCCAGTACCGTCTTCTTCGACGTGTCTTACCGACACCGGCTTGGGCGCGCACCCCGTGATGGATCTGGCTCGCGTCGTCCACGCGTCCACCCTCGAGTCTTCTTGCATCGGTTTCATCCTCGCCTCCCGTGGCTCTCATTCACCATTCACATCCATCCATTCACTTTTATTTCGTCTTCCTTTTCGTCTCGCCCGGACGGCCCGCGATTGCACCGTCTAACGTCCCGCTCATCGCGTCGTGGCCGCGTCCTTGCCCAGACCATCGACAGGCATCACCTCCGAGTCCTTGCTCGTTCGTTGTCCCTTCCTTCCCCTCCCTCTTTCCACCGGCCCGCGCCCACCCCGCCCATGTCCGCCATCGTCTCCATCGCCTCTACCCCGCGTCGTCGACGTCCCCGTCATTCCGCGTCACGCGCCCATATCCACCCGCATTCCATTAATGGCCTTTCCTCCCTCCTTCCTCCGCGCACCTCACACCCCGTCCTCCGCCTCTGCGTCCTTGCCCGTCATCGCTCGCTCACCCCGCATCCACTTACTATCCACACGCACGTCCCCTTTTCGTATCCGCGCGCCCGTCCCTCCTCGCGCTCGCAGCGTTCCCTTCCCCGCCTCTCACACCGCGCCGCTTCACTTCCATCCGTCCGCGTCCGTTTCCCCTTGCCTTCCCGTCCTTCCTCGTCCTCGCCCTCCTGCTGCTGTTACCGCACACATAGCTCATCCTCACCCCTCCTCACTCTTGTCTTGATCGTCGTCCCTCCCTCCCTCCGTCCGCTGTCTCCGCTCTCCATCCCATCCGCCCCGCCCCCGGTGCGTCCGAGTTAGAGTCCGGGCGAGGCTCAACCTGGCGGTCGTCGGCGTCGGCGTCGGCATCGCAATCGTAATCGCACATTGACGACACGCGCATCCCTATCCCGCCCCAATCGCCTACCCGAGCTGCCTCTCCCATCCTCCCTTCGCACGCTGATTTTTTCGTGCTCTCCCCCTTGTCGTCTGAACGTCCGAAATCACCACCTCGGGGCTCGCTCTCCTTCCCTCCATCTCAGGCATGTTGTCCCCTCCCTCCTCGTATTCCCCATGCGCACTGTATTGCTGTGCGCGCGGTCCCTCCGCATTCCGTGGGCGTGCACGGTGCTACTGTTACGCGCGACCCGGTCCCGGCCCTCCGCGTAACGCCTGCCCCTCCCCTGCCGCTGGCGCTGGTACGCGCGCGCGTCATCTCCGTTTCCCTCATACTGCTATCGCCGTAATCCTGGGTCCAAAGCCCACCCCCGCGCTCACAAATTCACATCCGAATCTCCGCGCTCGCAAATCCACGTCCCAGCTCTTCCCAAATCGACGCGCTCGCCGTCCGAATCCACCGCTTCTCGAATCCGCATGCCCCGTGCTCGCTCTCGCGAATCCCCGTGCTCGCAACTCCGAATCCACGCGCATCACGTCCCGTCTCGAAGTCCCAGACCAGCTCAAATGCATCCAAGCCCGAATCCCCGCGCTCGCAAATGCATGCCCAAATAAATGCCTGCGCTCGCAAATGCGAATCCACCCGCTCACAACCGACGGACATCTCGAATCTCGAATCCAAGGCTCGCTCGACTCCCCGCGCGCGCAGGTACAAGTCCTAACCCCCTTCCCCCGCGCTCGCAAATCCACCGCATCTCGCAAATGCCCTGCGCGCGCAAATCCGAATCTCGAATCCAAGTCCACGTTCAGGCGCTCGCAAGTGCAGGTCCGAGTCCGCGCGGCCGCAAATTTAAGGTTCGACTCCCCGCGCTCGCAACTCCGCCCGCGCTCATGGCCAACGAGAACGAGCACGGTCGAACGAACGAGCGGTTATGGTCCCGCGGGATATGTGGGTCGGGTTGGGGTGGGCAGTGTTGTGCGGTAGGTGCGCGGTAGGTAGGGGGAGAGGTGAGGTGCGGGCGAGGCGGGGGCGGAGATGCGAGCTGGGGGCGGACAGTGCAAGTGCTTCGTCCTGTTAGTAGTTTTTTTTAAATGGATCCTGTTTGAATCCACTGAGTGAGCAGGGTTCCTGTTCTGGAGCTCCCTTCTAATGTCGCCTCACTCGATGGGAATGGAAAAAATAGAGAAAAAGATGTGTCTTCCCTTCCCGCAACCGCCTTGCATTCAAACCCCCAACCATCCACCTCAAAAAGAAAAGGACGGACCACCCTCACCCAGGCTCTACATTCAACCAAAACCCTGCTAATACTCAAACAAGGTGATAAAACCACCGAATATTTTCAGAAACGAAGTCGGACATGGTGTAAAGAGAACACATCCTCTTACTCTGGGGCAACAGAGAAATTGAGAGGTAGTCCAGAGTTCGAATCCCTGTGTCTGAATTGAATGAGAAAATGGAATAGAAGAGAAAAATTCCCAACAGGAATTCAAACACAGGGAGTCGAACCCTGGACTGCCTCCATAAACCCTCCAGATTTGCCAAATGATAGAAGGCCGTGTTCCCATTACACCATGTCTGACTTGCTTCTCAATACATCTGGGGAGTTTTATGAGTCCGCTTGAGTATTAGCTGGCTGGTGTTTAAATGTAGACTCAGGGTGCGGCTGGGTGTTCATTTTTCGACTCGGAGCCGCAAGGAGGTATGTTTGGCTTGGAGCTTAAAGGTGAGGCAGGCCGGGTGCGGTTGGAGTGAATTTGAACTAGGCAGGTGGTCCATGTTCAACCTCTTGCTGAGTCCAAGTTCGACGAGCTTTTTTCTTGGGAACTGGGCTGCAAGGGTCGGGTCGGGGAAGATATTGGAGAAACGGAAGGAGAAGTTAGCAGAGGAACGAGCAGAGAAGCAGTGGAAATCACCCGTAACCGTAGTTCGGTTCAAGTTCATTTTTTTGGCCGTTTGCCGCGGAAGAAATTGGGGGACGACGGGTCACCCGTGAAAATATTACTACGTCCTGATACTGTTCCCTCTCGAGTAGCGCTGTTTCCGTTTCGGCGTTAGGAATCAAGACAGATTGGGAATGGTATGTACATGTGTTCTTCCTCTGTTCTTCCTCGCGGGTGAGTACTGACAGAAAATAATTCATGAGTGTGTGGATTTAAACACACTTGAAATACCTCTCGTTGCGGTGCCTGTCCGGGAGCAGGCAGGGTACGCGTCGGAGTGAATTTCAACCAAGCACGTGATCTGTGTTCAACGTCCAAGTTCGACTCCCCTTTTTTTTGTTCAACGTTTCCTTTGACTCGCCTGTTGATTATGACAGAATAACGAGCGGAAGAAGGCTCTGATTCCGTGTTGAAACATTGAAAGTCAGCCATCCGAGTACAGTAATTCAAGCATGGTTCAAGCCTCGCAGTCGACCGCTCAAAAGAATAATGAAGTAATAGAGCGACGGAGGGTCTCTATCTTCAAGTATTGGGACGTGCTGGTACTGTCCTCGCTCGAAAAGTGGCAGTGTGAGGAACGGACCGAAGGATCAAAAATCACGTATGTACTTGATCGTAATAACTTCATCGAGTTGGATATACCGACACCGGCGCAGTTGAGAGCATTTGAAGCGATCCGGGCTGGAGTTTTATGAGAAGGCATGGATGAGGAGAGTGAAAAAAATGAGCTCATATATGAGGGATTCAAGCCCTGGATTGCCTCCGTAAGGTCAAAAATCCCTACGATAAGAGGTTGTGTTCCCACTATACCATGTCTGATATCCTGCCCTGATTCCATGGAAGGTTTTATTAGGATGTTCAAGGGAAGATGTAAAAAAAAACATGCGAAGACCTTATTCAGACACAGGAATTCGAACCCTGGATTGCCTCTGATAATAGAGGACTGACTGATAAGAAGTATGTTCCCATTGACACTAGACCATGTCTAAGTACATATCTACTTCATCGCGTGGGTTGGTTTTACTGGGTTGAAGGAGAAGGAGATGGGTGGTCGATCTATTACAAAGTCTTTATAAGGTACACTCAGTGCTAACGGGTTCTGTGTTTTTTCTTTGAGATGCGAGGTTGATGCGGCCGCGTTTGATAGGGGATGTTCGAAAACGTTCCGCGCACGACGGTGAAGGAATTAAAGCAAAATGAGAGGAAAAAAAACTCACTGGTTCTACATATGGCATTTTTGTATACATGCATCAAATCCCTCGCTCAAGCTGACTGGGACTAGCGACCTCGCTGTGTCCGCCAACTTTCGTGACCTTGATCTGGCGTTATTTGGCTCTAAATGAAGGCGCGCAAGCATCACGTGGACTTCAATTCCCGGAGCGTGGGCGTCACGTCGATGCGATGATGCTGACGGTAGCAAGGCAGCGCCTCGGACGAGGACTCGAGCCGGGGAGCGGAGGGACGGCCGCAGGGCGCGCAGACAACGATAAAGAGAAGGGGGATGAAGCGGACGCGAGGACTCGACGAAAACGAAAGTGGCGGGATGAGCATGGGGGATATGTGCGGTAAGAGGAGGAAGAGGGCGAGGGAGAGTGCGCAGGGACAATGAATAGAAAGGGACGGGCACGAAGCACTGGAATGGTGGTCAAGAAAGTCTCATCGAATTTTGGTGATGCTACTCTCTTGCATTCTTAATCATGGTCATTTATTTGAGCTGGGCTACATATAATTTCGGAGGACTCAATATACGCAGAACGAGATATTCCGACCTTTGGGCACGTCAGGTTCAACTTGGAGTTTCTTCACTAATATCCTGATTGTCCGGGCACAACCCCGAATGCAGGGCCGTCCTTTCCAAACATCTTCCTCAAATCATCCACGAGCTCATTGGGCTTTTCGTAGGCAGCAAAGTGCCCACCGCTTTCATGTTCTCCCTCGAATACAATATTGCCCAATCCCCGTGTCCAGCTGTGGGAACGTGAGTAGACGACGGCCAGGGATTGAGATGAACATGCCTTCTGGGGAACACTAATACATCTCGAGGAAAATGCGACAAGCCGAGCGGGATCGTCGGCTTCGGGTTAGTAGACAATACCTTACTGAAGTCGCGGTTCCCAGCTTCAAAGTAGATACGGATCGAAGCCGCTGGGCCGGCTCGCGAAAACCAGAAGATGGATACCCAGGTCAAAACTGTGAGCGAACAGGAGTGAGAATATATGGAAACATGCAGGTTTCATCGCAATACCTTCGTCGTCATCCCATGGATAATTATCCGTCCAACCCACCAGCTTCTCATATATCCAGGCGAGAAGACCCACAGGTGAGTCGGCCAGGGCATATCCCAGCGTTTGCGGTTGAGTTGACTGTTGCCCGGAGTACCCGCTGCCCCTGCTGCGGAACAATTGGTTTCGGGCAAGCGCGGCTTGCTCTTCGGGTGTTAACTCCACATTCGACTCCGAATGGTCAGCAGGAGGAGCTCCTCTAAACTTGACTGTGAGATGTAACCAATATGGAGGTACTTCCGAAACGGACATGACCAGATTCGTGTGCCATGCTTTGCTATGCTTCTCGCCGTACACTAGGGCAATCATTCGGGTAATCTGATATTATAAGCTGTAGCACTGCTCGCGCATGTTCAAAACAAACAACATACTGGGAAGCCCCAATCCCCTCCTTGCGTGGTATACTCATTGTATCCGAGTGTCAGCATCAGTTTATTTCCGACCTGTGGGTCCGATAAGTAATGCAAGCGTTGAACAAGGAACCAGAACTGCGTACTTCTGCATACTGAGGAAGATCGAACCCCTTCGTCGAAGGACCCTCGGAGAAGCCGTACCCAGGAAGGCCTAGCACCACGACATGGAAGCTTGGATGGTCTGCCGATTTCGCGGACAACAACGAGACAATCTTGCGCGCCTCAAGGAAGCTTCCCGGCCCTATGCGATGCTTCACGTTATTACACTGCTCGCAAAGGTAAAGCTATACGCACAACCGTGGACAAAGAGCAGCGGAATGGCGCCGGGGATTTCACTTCGCTGATGTACATAGTGTATTGTGAGCGCCCCGTGGCCCTCGACAGAAATGGTGCGTGTGAATTGTGGCAGCGCAGCGTTGAGTTCTGCCTCATGGTGCCGCCAGTCGTATCCATCACGCCATCGTGCAACGAGCCGCTTAACATCCGCTAGTGGCACGCCATAGTCCCATCCCGCGCCGTCCAGCTCGTCGGGGAGAGTGGTGAGTTTGAGCTTCTGATGGAGTCGATCGATGCTGGCGTATGGAATCGAAATTTTGAAGGGAGATTCAGCCATGACCTAGTAAGTAAGCGTATGGAGCAAGAGAGGTGCGAGTGTGAAAAGGAAAAGGAGCGGAACCCAATTCCCGCTACCTTTAGCTAGTGGTCTTATAGCTCATTTTCGGGACTTACAGGCGATCATTTTTGTCAGCTCTTTTCGCGTAAGCTTCTTTGCCCTGTCAAAATTGAGCCCTGCATTCTGCATTCTCCGTTGGTTCTCCGAGCCTCGCGCACTCTGATTCATTGAAAGTGTGTCACTCCGTCCGATGTCGACGTGGAATCGAGACCTTTTTCGCCCCTCTTGCCTCCAACTTGCCTCCCTCCCTAAGTTCGTGCAATCTCCCGGCGCTTTCTACTTGTCCATTGACTAAGTTCTGACTTCTGGGCTGCCTGCTATCAATTCTGTTGTATCCGTTCTGTGTCTTCTATACCGTGCCTCCACCGATGCCATTTGTTGATGTGCAGCTAGTTGTATCTGCTTCCCTTTCCTTTGATCTGGTCCTGGGCCGCGACTCGTTCTACCTCTGTCGTAACTCTACCCCCTCTACCCCAACTGCTTGCTTCTACCGGTCGTCCGGCGTGCGAAATCTTCAGTCACCCCTCGGAGGTATTTCTCCCTCCCGCTATGTAGTTCCCCTAACTACCACCCTCCATTACCTGTCCTACGAAGTCTTTGAAAGTCTATGGGATTTGGTAGACTTCTGGGCTCACGTTCTTTCTGCCGGGACCGGTATTTAACGTCTACAGGAACTGGGGAAACGGTCAGCACAGGCTCAGGGCACACAGGTAAGGTGAGATACCTCTAATTATGCCCTGATATTAATACACGGTTAGTAGTTACGTCAAGACCTTGCAACCTAGCCGTCCTTAATCTAAACGCACTGGAGATTGCGGACCCATATTCCCTCTCTGCTGTCTGCGATTCCTATTCAGCGCTGTTACTTCACATTCTCGCATGGGGCGACCCCAGATGAAAGCAGGTCGATTCTCTGCTGAAAGTCCGGCAGTCATAGAACTCATAAAACCTTGAGGGTGGCCTCTCCTCTCTCCCTCTCAGACATCTTACAACCAGACTCGAGGGACTTCGCTCCGTAAAATCTCGCGTGCAGTGCAGAACTCGAACTCAGATTACACGCCCAGCTGATCGTTTTCCGCACGGCACTTGACGCAGGATCACATTCCATTCATGGTTGGCATTTACCTCGGCCGCGGCGAGGTATCTCCGATGCATGGGAACCTCGCAAATGTTTATTCGGAAATAACAGAACATCGGGAGGGTGGGCGTCATCGTGATCCGACAACATTCGGATATGTCACCTCAAAGGAGTTCAAGAACATGACATGAAT